CCTGCATAAAGCGGGGAGGATAAGCGAAAACACGATAATGCTGGCGATTCCCTTCTTTCTTTTTCACCAGTTTTTCGCACTCCTATCCCGACCCCCCATTCCTAATCTTCCTTACATAATTCTCAGCATAATTGACAGCAACCGAAGTGCCACTGGAGTAGAACCATTTGCCGCCACCTTACCGCAACACCCACAGGACGTCTAACGGCAACAGTCCCATGTAAGACCACACTGTCCCATTTCTATAGCGACTTTCAATGTTCGCATGCTGGACACACTAGATATTGACATGTGCTGTGTGTCCGAAACTCGGATCAACGATCCTAATGGGGTGTTGAATTAACTGCACCCGGCTTATCCTCTCGTTATTGGTTGCACGCATCCGGAGACCCCGTTGCAGCACTCACGGGTCAAGCTGGGGTAGGTATCAGTCTCAGCCCCAAGGCTGAGCTATCGTTGGTTGATTGGATTACGCTGAACATCCGTTGCTGAGTAACCCCTATGAGGATATCGACCAAGGTTGATACAGTAAGTAGTAGAAAACGATGCTTGTTTGTGATTTCCGCTGATGCTCCCACCGACTGCAGTTCCGATGCTGCCAAGGACGCATTCTACTGCGGACTAAACGCGCTACTACGCAGTGCCACTAGTTCAGATACTATAGAACAATACCTGCAGGAGAGATGAACGCATAAGTAGAGCGTCTGAGCTCATCAAAAGCTCAGCTACGTGGTAATTAAAAGTTTAACTTAGAACGGGGAGCGTCTGTTGCAACTGTGTGCGGAGCATCAGTTGTTTCTTAGTAGCAACGCTTTTAGACACGGTTGGTGCCGAAGTCACACTCGGGGTTTTCCTGTAACTAGCCAGCAATGAACCCAAACTGACCACAATGCCATTAGTTACAGATAGCGTGGTTCCATCCTGGATTGCCGCTCATTTTGGAATACCTGCGTCGACTCTGATCATGTCTTGGTTGGCTGTCATCTCTCCATGAATTCTACAGGGAGGAGCACCAAGCGCCTTTCCCGACTGGCAATTGAAGAATAGTCTCAGCCCTTGGTGGCTGGCGTGCCGAACAACCCCTTCGTGGTGTCAGCTGGGTGGTTCGGAATCTACCTGTTCCAAGAAATAGTTAGGCGGCAATGTTGCAGGAAGTAGTGGGTTTTCGCCTGGCAAGCGTTCTCCCTATAAAAAGCTACATATGTCCGTTAAACAACACTTCGAAGTGGTGGATGTGACTCGCCACTAAATAAAGTCAATGTCCCTTGCTTTACGCCGGTGGAGCATTGTATTCTAAATGCCAACTGCTGTCACGCTGGGGAAGATTGGAATTTTACCAAAGGAAAAACATATGAACCGAAAAATCGGTCACCGGCTCCCAATGGGCGCGATTTGCTCAATTTGCCCCGCTGCCTAGCGGGTAGGTTATTGAGCCAAAGGCTCGGGGTAGTGTCCCTACGTCGACTCGACTTCAGCCTGGGCAACCGGGTAGTATCGCGTCCACTGCAAAAACCATGGATTACATCGCAGTTTCGCATTCCCTCGCTCCTGCATTCCTTGCTTCTTAAGAGTTTCAAACTTCACCACAGACCAACCATTCTTCTGTTACTAATCACTGTTTCCCTCGACTTGGTGTTGTTACTGATTTCACCACTGCCCGTGATGTACTGTCGGAGGCAATTCTCCGTCGGGGATCTTCGTTCCGGCTGGCAACCCTCAATGTTCGGAAGGTTACGCAGATAGGGCAACAGATCGGCCTTGCAAAAATTCTGAGTTCCCTCGCCATTGATATCTGCTGCCTTTCAGAAACGCGATTACAGGTCCAAGAGTGTGCACCAATGAAAATACCCGATCAAGTAGGAAGCCACATATCACTTAAGTTTATCTGGTAACGAAGAAGCTGCTTCCGCTGATTTGGTCGGCGTTGGTATGATGTTAAGCAACAAAGCCTAGGCTGCACACCTTGAATGGTTCCCAGTTAACAGTCGACTTTACGCAGATCCCCTCCAAGGCTCAAGCAGAATTAACAGACACCGCGCTGAAAGGCACAAACAGTTGGTAAATTTTACTTACGTGTCAACCGATTGTAGCTCTGAACTGAACAAGGACAATTTTACCACCATCTTCAGCAGCTATTACGCAAGAAGACCAAGTCGGACGTCATTGTCCTCGCTGCAGACTTAAACGTATGTGTCGGTCGGCTGTTACTAGGTGAATATTACCTAGGTAGTCAGCATGCACTGAACGGGTCGTTCTGATAACCGAACAAGGCTTCTCAATTAGTGCGAAGACAACAGCCTATTTGTCGAAACCACAAACTTCAACCACTCGATGAGACAATCTGCCACCTGGCGTCCACCTTCACCGTCGCAGGCTTGGTTCCAAATGGACCACATTGCAATCAGTTTCAGGTGCCGTGGCAGCACACAATACTGTAGACCATTTTGATCGACCAACCTCGATGCAGATCACGGAATAGTCTGTGCCAACATTTGTATGCGATTCGGAGGAAATCAGGAACGGAGACTTCGTATGCTAGATACGAAAAGGCCAGCTGGTCAGTCAGCTCAGTTAGACTATCAACTATCACAGGGAAGCACACTAGCCTATGTTACACCAACTGATACTGAAAACCACTGGAAGTGCTTGCAGCAAGCAATATTCATTTTAGGTCAATCGGACAGTGGATTATCACACCACTCGTTGAAGGGCTGCATATCTGCGTCTTGAAAGGGCACTCCATTCCTCGTCCGCCTAGAGATAGAAGGCGTGTGCAACGAAATTCCCCCAGGCCACTGTAATGCCAGTGGGAGGATTTGACAGCGAAAATCCAGCGGCTTCACATCTCACATAAGAATATATGTTACAACGCTGTGCCCGCAATCAACCGGTTGATTCACGCCTGCTGCTAAATCTGCGCCCTTACACGTGCTCCGTTTGACGCCTTGGCAGCCGACATGAAGGAAGACACAAGAAGACTCAGCAGATCAGAGTTGTATTAGGACAGAGAACGCTCATATTTATATGTCGGTCTCACCAACTCTCCAAATATCACCAGGAGCATTTGGCTGTAAGCCCATACTCCACACATGCTTTTCCGCTACGTCTGATCAGATCACCGTCTTGCACGGCCACTCCATTCTTCGTCCGCCTACCCGGTGCATGGCAACGCACGTGATGTCTGACGCGTAATTTCATCAGCACCCGGGCAGGCCTTGGCAACACGCCTGCTGCCTGATCCGCGATTTCATCAGCTTTCGGCTGGGCCCTGGCAACACGCTCACAAGGACTTTCGTAATCACGATTTGTGGCAAAAACGCGAGCGATGGCAATCAGCTTGCTCGCGCAGCTGCCAATATCACGAAGACTTCTGCGCCACTTAACTCCTAACAACCGTACTAGGTAGTAATATCCAAGTATGGGAGCTATTTGATTAATGCAAGTTCGGTTCGCCGTTCGGCTTCCCCATCCCTTTGAGGAGCAATATTCGGGTTAGTACCATGACACAGGTATTCATCGACGGTATGCCACGCAGCCTGATCGATTGTCCACACGTCCTCAAAGGAGATTCCCATCTACCGTGAGAAGAATACGATACGATCATGAGAAAGTGCATCTAGCCTCTGATGCTCAATCTAAGTATATGCAACCTGTGGATGAACAGTGGATCACTTAGAGTGCCATATCAAAACATATCAAGGAGATTGACTCACAAAATAGTGATTGAAAGATAACGTCGTCAAAGCCAGGTGTGCGAAGCGCACTTCACAGACAGCCTACAAACAACGATCGTGGATTAATGCGCATCTGCAAATCACTGGTGCTCATGTGATCATTGCAACCATAATAACTGCCCGTCAGATTAAAGAAAATAACAGCCAAACTCAGTTGCACTAATTCGATCCGTACAGCAAAGGCGCATCCACACAATGCAAAGGAGACTCAAAAAAAATCACAGGTGCAACCGTCTGTACTAAAAGATCTACCGAAAACTGAGCTGTGCCTCCAGACATCCTTGAACATAGGCTAGACACAAACCGACACTTAAGGGTTACATGGGTTCGCAAGTAGTAACGGCAGGCAAAGCAATGAATAAATGTCGAAAATCGAAGCAAGCACTTCTTTCAGGAACCGCGCATGCAACTAACAAGAAGAGTCGTCTGCGGAAGGGACTGATTCAAAAGTAATCAGCCATTTGGATGATGTAAGCATCCATTCAGTCGGTGCCGGTTGCATTGATCAAGACACACGTGCATCACTGAACGGTGCTATCTGAGTAGTATGTAAATGTCGGCAACAGTGTATGAACGGAACCATAAGATCCTCTTGCCAAGAATGAAAATGCACAAAGGCAAATCTTCCGGTCCACTGGAACCACGCAGCCATCCGGCCGAATGCTGCGAGTCTGTCGGTGATTTGTGATGGGTGGCTGATAGGCAGCGCAGTACGAAAACGTGATGTCTTATCCGAGATTTGCTGAATCACAATCACCAACACGATGGGTAAAATGCATAGCGCTAAGCCGATCAGCATATTGATTCAACCGCAAACGATCCATCGTCTTGCGATCGCAGACTCACACCAAGCATAAATAGGTAATGAATAATGCATACATTTGCCAAAGACGCGAGTGACCACTCACGTTTCGCGACCAACTTCGCCCAAATGAATAAACAGAGAGAGGAGGTGAGGGTGTGTGTGCGTGTGTGGACGGTGGCTGCCCAGTTTGCAATTGGTTCGCAAACGCCTCGCAATCAAATAAGGTAGCATCAACAGTGTGCAGCGCACTGACTTACTCAATGAGTAGTCTGGTTATCCGAAGTCACTAGCCCAAGGAAGCACAGATTCAAAAATGGCGTTCAACAGAACCACGTCAAAACCAACAGGTAGCATCATGTGAGATAGAATGCCAGACGCTAAGAGGCTGATGAAATTCAGCAGAATAACCGTGAACACATTTGGGATAATGGAAAACATATAACGCTTGAAAAAATACTCACTTAAATGCACTGCTCCAATATGCCTTTTTAATGCATCGCCCTGAGAGAAGCATCTGTCACAATGCTCACACCTGTGAGGCTGTTTCTCTGCAACGGTAAATAAAGCTATGTCGGTGACAATAAAAGTAAAAAAAAGATTAAGACAGAAACGAAGTGCTTCCAAATCAATCGCTAACCAGAGACATGCTGAAAATTGTAATCCCACCGTGACAAGTAGCGCAAATTAGCCTGTTGTTTGGATGTTGTTCTGGTAACTAACGCAACCAAACAAGATTCCATGCTATTTACGCGCGTAGGGCGAGTAGAGTGAGGGCTTATAGCAACCAATGACCGCCCTCCTATACATCCGACAGTGTAGCAGAGAGGCAGCCACTGTCACCTTTCCTTTTTGACTTCTTTACTGACAAATTTATGGAAACTGTGTTCAACAAACACGGATAAGGTGTGGAGCTGCTCCCAAATGGACGACTGATTTGAAGTATGCAACCGATACATCTCTCATTTGGAACAGCTTACAAACGTGTCAATGAGCAATGGGCAAATTAGCACTGGCTGTCAGTCGTCTAGTACATCGCTTCTTACCCCTGCAAAGCGCAAATCACAACTATAGCATTGGCAGTGACCGCCCCCAGCGCCCATACCACCGTGGGGGTAAGCCAGAAATCGTTGACAGATTCAACAACATGGGCAGCTGTTTCAGCGCAAGTGGCAACGGAGATCACGAAACGTAGAGCCAACGCTCGAGCCGCTTCTGCTAGCCTACGCCACATCTGGCGTAGCTGTGACATCACTATCGCCCTGAAGAATACAGTGTACTGTTCAACATTACTGTACGGTTGTGAAACTTGGCCCAGAAAATCGGCAAACGTGAAGAACCTATCTGCTTTCGAAGTTTCGCATGCATCTAGCAGAAACACCGTGCGAACAATACTCCCCTTCTGCGTCATGTTTATGGAGCAAGAAGGGATTGCGGTCTCACCGTGCCGAATGCCAATGTACATAAGATCCCGATAAAAAAACATACCGAAAACAGCGACGAAGCTAGACTCTCGAGTTAGCGATCTCATCTAAAATCACGAACGATACCTACCCCAGCTTAACCAGAGGCTGTCGCATCAGCATCTCCAGACGCGTGTAATCAACGGCGAGAGGACAACCCAGTCTCAGTTCATTCAACAACGCTATGAGGGCCAGTCATCCTAGTTTCCGACACACACCACACATCAATACACAGTGTGTCCAACCTGCGTGGGAGCACAGGATGTTGACCAATTTATCTTATAGTGCGAACGTCGAATGCCGCCAGGGAAACGGAACAGTGTGGCCTTATAAGGGACAGTTGCTGATAGGCAACTACAATTGGTTCGACTCCAGTGTCAATACAGCTGCTGTCAATTAAGCTGGGATTGATAGAAGGGAGGTTAGAATTCGGGGAACGGATGGGAGTAAGAGACATTGTCCAGCGGGTCGCATTTCCGCTGTGGCAGAAAGTTCAATGTCAGGATTGGTGACTCCAGATCTAACAGGTGCACTGTTCAAACGAGCCTCACCAGGATTCACTATTAAGTCCGTTAAAGTTCGTTATGTTTATAGATGATGTAGCTGCACTCCTTGAGAACCCTTGTTTTGTTTCTGTGGATGATGTAGTGCTTGTCAGTGAAATATAGATATACGTCGTCTACAAATCTGGGTACTTTAACCAAGTGGTCTGAGTCATGGGGCTTACCATCGAACGCGAACAAATGTCAAATGTTATCATCAAATAACGTTGGGATTACGGTGCAAGCATCCACTAGGTCCCATCGCAAAGAGACTGGACCTTACCGTGCTGCGATGGTTTGTGTGCCTCAATGATCTATTGAGCTATACTGGTTGGTGCATTTTGGCACCTTCAGAGCCACTCATACCAGATTGATCAATGGTTAGAGGCCAGACAAACTCAGCCTCCTAGTCCTCCAGGTTGGGGGTTGGAATGAGGGGGCTTCTTATTCCTTAAAACGGACTCCTTGTAGCCCAGTGCCAAACCCGCTGCCTTCTGGTCAGGTTTTTTAACCAAAGGCTTTGGTTGAGAACCCTAATCGTTCTCCTGTCTAGGCCTGGGCAACCTGACAGTATCCTGCCAATGCAAAACAATGAATTTCTCTTCAAACGAATTTCTGATGCTCTGGCCACCGCAGAGGATAATCCACGGTACCCTATCTGCTGCATCGGGCAGAATAATAATAATAATAATAATAATAATAATAATAATAATAATAATAATAATGTGTCAGCTGTACGCCGTAACGGCGCTTCGCTGCCGCGCGACCACCACCAGTCACGCGCGGGCTGAGTATACCGCGAGGACGCCCACCCTTACGCGGATGCATCGGGCAGGGTGGATAGGGTTTGGTATGCTACTACTCAATCCTTCCCGTCTTCTTATTTCCCCTCTAACGCCTTTTCACCCTTATCGTCCCGACCCAGCTTCAATTATATCCCCCCTGTATTCAACCCTCAATTGTCGGCCCTCCCCCACCTTGCTTCAATAGTCGCTTGTCTTCTAGTTACAACTCATAGGTGAACGCGGAGCGTCATTTTTGCACTGTCAACAGGCCCATGTCCAAGCAAGCGGCCCATTCCAGTTCATCGGCTTCCATTTGGAGCCCTCGATCCTCCTTCAGATTGACATGCCTCAATGTTCGCACATTGTTTCAGATCGATCAACCGACAGCACTTGCCCGAACATTAGAGACCCTCTCCATCGATATCTGCTGCTTATCGGAGACCCGCCTGCAAGACTCGAGCTCGGTACTCACTCTGCGATCCCCTTCAGGTGACACTAGCAGCACTTTCTCATTGCGCCTATCCGGTGAAGAAGCAGCTTCGAGTACCGGCCAAGCTCGTGTTGGTATTGCCCTGAGTCCTCGGGCTGTAGCTACTCTGGTTGATTGGATCCCAATCAGTAGCCGGATGTGTACGGTCCGATTGGCTGGCTCGTTCAAAGCTTCGAAGTCGCGCGGGACTAACAGGTGTCTATTCGTTATCGCTGCCTATGCACCCACAAACTGTAGCGATGATTCGGTAAAGGACGACTTCTATCGTCAACTGAACGAGTTCCTTCGCCACAGAAGTAGCTCGGATGCTGTAATGCTGGCTGGAGATCTGAACGCACAACTTGGAAAGTTATCCACAGGAGAGCAGCATCTGGGATGCCAACATGGTATAGGCTCCCGTAATGATAACGGTGAGCGGTTACTTCATTTGTGTGAGGATGCTCGGTTATTTCTTGCGAGCACTAATTTCCGACACAGCACCCGCCGGAGGGTAACTTGGCGCCCACCAGTCTTGGACGGAAATCGATCACATTGCGATACGTTACCGCTGGAGACGTTGCGCCCAGAACTGTCGCTCGATTTGGAGCACATGTGTGGACATTGACCATGCAATTGTAGGTGCTGACCTGCGGTGGAGCTTTGGCGTACGCCCACGACGACGTTGTGACCACATTTATTCCAGCCAACTGGCGAAACCAGCTGTTCCGTATGCCTATCAAAGTACGCTGTCATGCGGGTTGAGTAAGCGCTCACTGAATAAAACTGAAGATCACTGGTCTCCTCTTCACCCGACCTTACTAGCAGCAGACAAATCCTCATGTGGCAAATCTAAAAACCAACATAGACATTAGGTCTCTTCGCAGTCTCTGGAACTTATCGATGCTCGCCGGCACATTCCGGCGGGAAGCGAACACAATGAAACTCGCAAAGAGCTGCGGGCAAAACTCCGTGCTGGCCTGAAGAGAGAACGCGAATCCCGGTTGTCTCATCGTGCTTCAGAGATGGGAATAGCCGCTACCCTTTGTAATCATCTGGATGATACGGGAAACGGGCAGCAGTAGACCCGGTGTTAGTAAAACTACACGTGATGAGAGCGAACAGCCTATCCACAACTTTTAAAAAACGCGTAGAGCGTTGGGCTGAACACTGAAACGCAATTTAATCGATCGAAATGGTTAGATTTAGATGGACTGTCCATCTCGATCCAGCCTCTCACCCAGAAGTCGAACGTGAGATCAGACAGTTGAAGTCAAATAAAGCCGCGGGACCAGATGATCTTCCTCCAGCCCTCTTCAAATTCGGGGGACCTGCTCTTATGGATGATTTACACGAGTTACTAGTGAAACTGTGGGAGCAGGAAACTGTCCCAACCGATTGGAGCCGCTCCGTCATAGTCCCAATTTTCAAAGGAGGCTCACAATCGCAATGCGGCAGCCATAGAGGAATCAGTCTGATATCCATCGCCTCCAAATTGCTTGCCTCTGTCATCCTTCACAGACTGACTGGTAATCGTAAAAGCCAGATTCGTGAAGAGCAAGCTGGATTTCGTCGAGATCGTGGCTGCATTGACCACATCTTCACATTGCGTCAGTTGGTCAAGCACCGTCATATATACTGGCGGGCCACCATTGTCGTGTTCCTCAATGTCAAAGGTGCATTCGACTCGGTAGACAGACATGCACTATGGGACCGTCTACTCAGGAAAGGTGTACCTGAGAAATACGTGAATATTATACCATCATTTTACGCACGTAGCTCTAGCAGAGTTAGGGCTTACGGCAAGTTGTCGTCGCCCTTTAATATCTCCAGCGCTGTGAGACAAGGATGTTCGATGTCCTCTTTCCTCTTCAACTTCGCTGTTCACGAAGTCATGGAAATCGCGTTCACAGGACACGACTTAGAAGGTGTGGATCTGCTCCCAGGAGAACGACTTCATGATTTAGAGTATGCTGATGATATTGCCATAATCTGTGACAGCTCACAAACGTGTCAAGTGGCACTGGACAGATTAACACTACCTGTCCGTCACTTCGGGCCTTGCTTCGCACCCTCGAAGTGCAAAGCGTTAGTTCAAGATTGGACTGGACCGCCTCCTACGCTGACCGTTGGTGGTGATCCGCTAGAAGTCGTTCAAAAATCCAACTACTTGGGAAGTTGTATCAGCGCCCGTGGGATTGAAGATGAAATCACGAATCGTATAGCAAAAGCTAGAGGCGCTTTCGCTAACCTTCGCCACTTATGGCGCCGGCGTGACA